GCAGGACTGGCAGAGCTTTGCTCTGCTGTGCACAGGGTCACGACTGCTGGACAGCGGCAAACGACAGCTCACCATGGAACCCCACTGTTTCCGGTGCCTGCCACCTGCCCAGCTGCGTCAGGACCTCGCCGCCGCAGTAACAATCAACTCTTTCACAGGCCATATCTCGTGTCTGTTGAGCAATGCCCGGGTGGGAGCAGCCAGAAGGCTGGGGAGGTCTTGGCGTCCACCTTGATTACATTTTCCTCCACGCTCCAAGCTGGCGTCACCGTGTATTCCACGTGTGCGTCTCCCCCAGAGCACTTGGAATCGTCTCAGGGAATTCTGGCTGATAAGCTGAGAGGTTAGTGACAAAGCAAGCCAACAGTTTCCTGTTTTGTTCTGGCCATGACGGAGGCGAAATGTGGCTATTCATACACCACCTTCCGTCGCATTATCCTGCAGGCTGGTGCCATCCGGAAGACCAGGTTCCTTTACATGTTTGTTCCTGGTCCCCCCGCCCTCCCCTCCCCTCATGAAATTGCTACCTTTGACGTGTCCATCTTTCTCCAGTGGAAACCCAGGCCAGTGAGGGGCAGCTTGGGAGGCCTCTTTTCCTCCCCCACCCTCCTCAGGGTGCTGAGCAGCTACCCCTGCCTTGGTGCCCACCTCGAAGGGGACCTGGCCAAGGGCATCAGGAACTGGCCTTCCCTTCTGTGTGGCTGGAGCCCTTGGTGGGTGGTCAGGCTGGTGGGTGGGGGCCATACATGGTCTGGCATGCCTTGTTAAGATGTGTGAACTTCTCCCCCCCCCACCACCGAAATAAGCATGGGCTTCATTCTATTGGCAGATGGAAGCCACTCATGATGCACCACCCCCACCCCCCAAGTATGGCACCTGCGAGACTGAGCCAGGGGACAGGTTGGTGGGGAGCACGGAGTCCCGTAACCCAGCCTGTCCCTCACTGTTTTCAGCTATGTAAGCTCAGACCACCTCCGGCTGGACTTGCTGGAGGAGCAGTTCCAGGAGGACTTTGCGGCCATCAACCACCTTTTGTCCGATGAGAAGGTGACCGCTTTGCACCATTCGGTCTATGTGAGGTAAGTGGGTCAGCAGTCACCTTCTGCATTCTCAGGGCTGTGCTCACCTCCGTGGAGATCTGAGAGAAGGAGGGAAGGGGAAAATGAAACTTCCTCCTCTTGGTCTTGAACTTCATCCTTCACTGGACATGCTTCCTCCCATGACACGAGAGGAAGGGCAGACTACACACCTAAATGAAGTCAGTACAATCCTGGAAGCTGAAAGGGACCCCTTGACTTGCTCGGGTTAGATGCTGGTCCAGGTAGCCTGGATCCAAATTCCATACTGTCTTCCTGAGGTCTTGGACCCAAACTCCTATGTGTGTAGGCCTGTCTGTCTGTCCATCATCACATTAACAAGCACCCATGGTGGGACCCCTGCACACCAACCCACAGGGGATAACTCACCTCTGGTGTCTGCAAACCCCAGTCTGGGGAAATGAGTTTTGTATCTCACACGGAATGTGTTAGGGAGATTCGGGCCCCTTGCCCTTCCTTAGGATTATTTGGTGTTTTAGAGAGATTTGAAGGTACAGGGCTGCTAAGTGAAAGGTTGGAAGTTTGCGTGTCCTCTGAGGGGTGGTGGGAGAAAGACCTGATGATGGATTTCCAGGGAAAAAACAAAAACAAAAAGCAGCCATTGAAACATTGTGGAGCACAGTTCAACTCTGACCCCCATGGGGTCGCCATGAGCCCACGTCCACTCCACAGCGATCGTCCAAACTGCTCCTCGCCTTCCTTATCAGATAAGCATATTGAGTGTGTGTGTGTGTGTGTGTGTGTGTGAGAGAGAGAGAGAGAGAGAGAGAGAGAGAGAATTACTGAGCAATCACATAACAGTGCTCTGGGAGGAAGCCTTTCCACGGTGTCTGAACCTCAGACCTTGAGGACTTCCTGCCAGGAGGGTCCAAGCCCTGGGCCACACCAGGCCATCCAGGGCGAGTGGGTAGGGCTGACGCACAGCTGACCCCAGCTTCTGGCTGCGTGACAGCGATCCCTGTGCATGGTGACAATGAACTCTGTAAAGCTGGGGTGCTCCGCTCAGCCTCTCACAGACCTGTTACTTGCCGGGTCCTTGCGAGCCTTATGACGGAGGTGGCCAGCTTTCTCCTGGTCCGCTTTGGACTCATGGATGAAAACCGAGCCCGTGTTTAAGAGCAGGAGATGAGAGGTTCTGGTCTCCATCACAAGAACAAGTATCACAGGAAGAAGGAGGAGGCTTGGGGATGCTTCAGGCCCAGGATGTTCACCTTGAAGGCTACTTTTGTTTCCCTCTTGATTTAGGGAGGGGTGTGCTTCCGGCAACGTGGTTACCTTGAAGTGCTCAGGTAAGCATTGGAGGAACACAAAGGGCCAAGCAGAAGCCCACAGACTCCTCTCTTTCAGTTCTGTGTGCTCCCACCCTCCACAGGGGGCTCTGCTTCCTTCCCCCCAGGTGCCAACTCTGTCCTGCTTGGTCTAGGCAGGGGGCAGGGGCAGCTGGGCCCACCTGGCAGGTCGGAGGGGGCAGCGCAGTGGGAAGGACCAGGTCCAGGTCCAGGTCCGGGGACGCCCTAGAGGTGCCGCTAACTGACTGGCTGCCACAGTTCCCTTCCTGCCCTGGGGAAGTGTGTACAGGTGCTCAGCACCCAGGCCTGGGGCAGGCTTCCCTGGGTCCTGGCCGGAGGGCCCCTGCAGCAGCAGATGTCTGGAGCAGTCAGGCCTCTAGTCGGTGCCCCCGTGGTGTTGCCATCGGCTGGCGGTAGGGAGGTGGAGGGGCACTTAGAGCACTTCCTCACAGCACCCCACCCACACGTGGTCGCTTCTACAGCACTCCTCGCCATGTTGCCCTGGGCGGCCACATTCCACCGTTCCCCATGACCCCCTCACAGCCCTGCTCTCCCCCGCCCCTGGGCTGCGGGCCCTGGGGGGACAGCGTCTGTGTGAGAGGGAAAGGCAGGACCCCAACGGGAGTCTTGGGGGGTGTATCCACCGCCTGTGTTCCTCCCACAGCCTGTGGCCTGAGGTCAGGCTACGCCCCTCGCATCGTTGGTGGGAATATGTCCTCGCTCGCGCAGTGGCCCTGGCAGGCCAGCCTTCAGTTCCAGGGGTACCACCTCTGCGGGGGCTCTGTCATCACCCCCTCGTGGATCGTCACTGCTGCCCACTGTGTTTACGAGTGAGTACGCTGAGCTTGCCTTCCCTCAGGGCACGTGCTCCGTCCTGGTGTCAGAGTGGGCTGACAGGCTGCCATCAAGACCCAGTGAGGGCCAGGTGTGAGCCCTCTCATAGCACCTGCCTGTCACCATCACAGGGGTGGCTGGCGACCTGGAGTTGCTCTTAAGTTTCTTTGAGCTGCAGCTTCTGCAGAGAAGGCAGAGGGAGGGGGAAGAGAACTCTCCCGCAGGAGGAAAACCGCCAGAGTGGACGGTCTTAGACTTTTCTGTACAGCCACATACTCAGGTGACTGATGTCGGTGTGGGGAGGGTTGGGGGGAGCATTGAGAGTGCCTGTGTTGGGGTGTCACGTGTCCCCAAAGCCGACTCTCTCATGAGCTTGTAATATAAGAACGCTGCAGAAAGGGCTTCCAAGGGTGGGGGTCTTTGTTTTTGCGGGTCCACCTGAGGGTCTTCATTCCGTCAGCGCTCCCAAGCTGTGAGTGGGGAAGTTGATTGAACCCAAACCCACTGGGGGCTCGTGGATTCAGGCTCAGCGTAACGGGATGCGACGCAGGAGAAATCGCTTCCCCGGGTTTTCCATGGAAGGTTCTAAGAAATTGGTGATCGTGCCATTTGGGAGGTGGGAAGTCCAACTGAGGCTCTCCTGAGGTTCCGAGGGGGCACCTGTTCCGGGCCCCACTCCCAGGTCCTAGTTGCTCAAGGCTTACCTTCTCTGGCAGCCTGTGGTCACACGCCACCCCCGTCTCTCTCAGAGGTGCTAGTAGACAGGGAGGAGTCCCTGGGCGGTGCAAACAGCTAGGTGCTTGTCTGCTAGCCGAAAAGTGGGCAGTGTGAACCCACCCAGAGGCCCCTCAGTGATCTGCTTCTGAAAGGTCTTGCACACTCGATGCGGAGCTCAGTGGGACACACTCTGTGTCCACAGCCCCTGACCCAATGACCCCTGGTATGCTTTCATCATTTTATTTCTAGATTGACTCACTGGCAGTGGGGTGGGTGGTTGGAACCCCTCATAGAACCCTATAGAAGACTCTCCAATGACTCTATTTTCAGTCAGGGCCACATTCCCAGGTATGGGGATGAGGACTTCAATTGATCTTTTTAAGGGGACGCAGCTCAACCCGCAGCATTGAGCATGCATTAACGAGGGTCACAGGACTGTCTCTTGCCTGATCGTATCTCCCACCATCTCCCCAGGGCTATGGCCAGGTTTAGTGCTTGGGCTTTGCCTGCGTCTGACATCGTGATCTCCTCCTTGCAGCCTTTACCTCCCCAAGTCCTGGAGCATCCAAGTGGGTCTAGTGTCCCTGCTGGACAGTCCAGCCCCTTCTCATTTGGTGGAGAAAATCATCTACCACAGCAAGTACAAGCCAAAGAGGTTGGGCAACGACATTGCCCTCATGAAGCTGGCCAGGCCACTCACGTTCAACGGTATGACCGGGTTTCCTTGTTCCTGCACCTTTACAGTTGCAGCTTTACGATCCTTGCCGGATAATCCCAGCGTCGGATTCAGCTCGTGCTACAAAACATGAGGTGCCAGCACTCGGACGTTGCGAAGAATAATTTTTAAAAAGAGTCCCCTTTAAATCTCCTCTACCTCTCTAGGATGGCCAGGCCCAGTAAAGCTTAGCACATCTCAGGATGAGTCCACACGGACACCCCCCTCATTGGGTGGGTGGGTAGGTGGGCTTTTCATGACAATCCATGCCGACACGTGTTGACTTGAAACGTACCAGGAGGGGGAGGGGTATTCATTCAGTGCATCTCTCCAAGGCAACATGCCTCTACTCTACACGGAGGGTGGGGTGGCACCTAATGGCCTGTGACCAATTCTCACCCTTCGATCACATTTGCAAGTAAAGTTTTCTTGGAACACACAAACACCCACTGTAAGGCAATATTCCAGTGGTTGACCGAGAGGGTAGAGCCCGCAACTCTTAAAATAGTCCCTACGTAAGCCTCTACGGGGAAAAATTGCCAACCCTCGTGTAGACTCACTCGAATTTCATAGTGAGGGCTGTTTGGACTGTTTGGTGAGGGTCAGCAGTACGAGGGGGCCCTCAAGGAGGTGATTGGCGCAGGAGCCACAGCAGTGGGCTCAGGCTGAGCAACAACCGTGAGCGTGCGGCAGGACCAGGCGCTGCCTCCTTCTGCTGTGCAGAAGGTCCCCCGGAGTCAGCACTGACTGGCTGGTAAATAGGGCTGCTTTCTGGTCTGCAGGATTCCAGGGGAGTCCCATGTTCAAATAAATGACAGCCACTCTAATGTCTTCAAATTCAGAAGAGGCTTTCTTCAGCTAGCTGGGCTACCGAGAAACTAAAGATGTTCCCTTCATAGCAGTCCTGAGGGAACTTCTCAGTTCGTCTTTAAGGCCGAAGACTTCATTTATCACCTGCCCAGGGTTCAAGCAAGTGTGAATAGAAGCAGAAAGCAAAATTAATGGATTAATTATAACTCCAAGAAGAGTAAGCATGCATAACAAAGTCCATTCCTAATTGTAGAAGAAAACACATACTAAAATTGATGATCACATCCTGGTTACCATCACAAGGTTATAGCGTAGCATCCTGGTTGTCATGACAAGATTAACTACACCATTCAGATTATAGCACCAAAGGGAACAATATTGAAAAATAATCAGCACAAACGATATATTAAAGAAATAGTCTAAACTAATTGTAGTGTCCAGCACCTGGGAACATGGGAGTACTTTCTAAAATTAATCCCCAGCAGAGCCTTTCCCATCAGGGGAGGGAGAACGGGCAAGTCACTTAGCAGCTAACAAAAACGGAGTTTCTTTTGCTCGTCTGCCTCACTTGGGGGGGCGATGAGGCTTTCTACTCCCATAAAGAGTTGCAGCCTTGGAACCCCCCTGGGGCGGTTGTCCCCATCCTGCAGGGTTGTGATGAGCCAGGATGGGCCTCACGGCAGTGAGTTTGGAGAGGGGGGTGTCCTTGCTCTGGCTGACAGCGCCCAGGCTGCACAGGACTTGGCTGGTCTTGGGGAGATTATCCTGTGGCTTCTCAGAGACACTAAGAGCACAAGTGAGACCATTTCCTTAGACTACTGTTTCAACAGAGTCATTCATGTCTTTTACACAGAGATGGTCCAACCGGTTTGTCTGCCCAACTCGGAGGAGAATTTTCCTGATGGAAAAATGTGCTGGACGTCGGGATGGGGGGCCACAGAGGATGGAGGTCAGTGCTCTAGAATCACGGTTCTGAACTGGCATGGGGCGTACATGCAACCCCCTCCCCTGGGAACAGCCCAGGTGGTGCCCAGAGGTCCTGGCCAGGGGATACATCTCAGCATTCAGAACACACCATTGGCTGAGTCAGTGCCACCAGCCTTGGCACCGTGTGCTAGGGTGGGCTTCCTTAGAAGAGAAAACAAGGGGACATCTGGGACCCTCCTTGGTGGAGAGACCTTCGCTAACACACGAGGTGGTTCCCCTTTCTCTCCGCACCCCCTCCCTGCTGCTCCCTGACTGCTAAGTAAGTAAGGAGCCCACAGAGAGAGCCTTCTCAGCATAATTCAGAAGGCAGAGACTTGCAACCGTTGAACGGGGTTTCTTTCTTGGGAAGATGTGTTGTTTCACCCTCCCTGCAAAGACGAAGTGGAAACAGCAAACAAGCACAGTCATGTTGCTATCATCCTAGAAGCAGTAATGCCACTAACAGTCATAATGGATGTTAGTAAAGCCCGGCCCCTCTTTGATCCGTATGGGACTTCAATGGGGCCATGCCCGGTGTCTTCCCTGTCAGTGGAAAATGCAGAGCTTTTCTCCAGAGCTCCATTCGTTGATGACGTCGCCACCTCAGAGTGCTCATTGAAAGGACCTGCTTGCCCCACCTCTTATCCTGGGTCAGGGAGACTTAAACAGCTCTCTCGTTTCAAGAGCACCCACTTGGCTCAAGCCCCGTCAGGGTGCATCAAAAAGTATAGCTCCCCAACATAGAAACCTTTAGTCAACAAACCTATCCAAACATGAAGCTATTGCTTCTCAGTATCTCCTCCATCGAGGTCTGCCCACTTCCAAAGGTGCTGGTGCCAGCCCTCCAAACCCTCCTGGGGAGAAGTCTGTGCTTTTTAATGGACACCCCTGCAAACCCCACTCCTTTTCGGTGTTCTCTGAGCTCTGGGAACAAAGGCAAGCCTGAATGGGGCACGCCTGGAGCTGCAGGGCAGTTTCCCAGGGAAAGTCTCCTTGGGCTTGCTCCCCGGGAAGAGCAAGCAGCATTGTGGTCACGGTGGAAAACAGCTCCTGGGTGACATTGCCCGGCTCTTGCTCACCGGGCCAGGCTGGCCTTTTCTTCAACCTTTCTCTACACAAGCCTTTGAGATTGATGTCCCCTGTCCTTTAAGAAAATCTACCGAGGTGGCTGCTTCAGCGTTCCCTCCAACGGCTGCCACACCCTGCTGAGCGCACCTGTCTGCCATGAAGCTAACTGACCCAGCAGATGACCTGAGAATCGGTTGCTTTGACTGGGTTTTTTTATTTGAACGCACCCTAATGTGCCCCTGGCGAGTGCAATACAGAGAAAACCTGCGTGCCACCATCCGAAGGTCACGTAGACGTACTGAAACGTATTTTGTTTAATAGCAATGCTCTTTGACTTAGCCTCACAGCGGGTTTGGGGACTTTCAGCTCCTTCAGAGCTAGCCCCTCTGAGCCTCTGCTTTGTGGTGGGGAGCAGGGTCACCAAACCTTGTCTCTCCTCTTCTCTGGTGAGCTCCCCTGAGTTCTCACCCAGGACCACCGTCATATCAATGGCATGGGACTCTGAAGAGGAGGTGTTGGGAACAGCTCCTCTCTCCAAGGATGCTCTGGGTCCCTGTGCAAGTCCCTCCTCTTCTTACTAGAGATCGCATCTGTCCACCCCTGAAGGTCCCCTTCGCCCTTTCTCCCTGCACAGTGGCTTGGCCTGCCCTCCGGCCTGTGTTGGCAGCTTCTCCCACACCCTCAATGGGCGCCCTTTCAACATGAGCCCATCATGAAGCACTCACCCCGTGCCAGATGCTGAACTGGGTGTTTCGGTGCTAGGTCTTCGGATCCCCACGGCTGCCCTAGAGGTGCGTCTTCCTTTCCTAGCGCTTCCATGAAAACAAAAGCAACAAAACAAATGGACAAATGCCACCACCAACAACTAGGTGATTTACCTGAGGCTGGGAGACCAAATTAGGCAATGGGTCCTGCCGCTGTCTTCTGAGGACCCCGCGGGAGACTCTGTCCCTCCCCGCTTCGAGCGGCTCCTGGCACTCTGGCTTGTAGATGTCTTCTCCCACAGTGTATGCCCCGGTGTGTGACTCGGCCTGAGCCTCTTCCCCATTTTGGAAGACAACCCTCAGAGGGGGCAGGGAGGGCCCTTCTTACTCAGCCCGTGACCTCATTAACCTAACCGCGGACACCTTTAACGAAGCGCTGTCTTTCCTGACCAGGTCCCATTCACAGGTAGAGAAATCAGGATTTGAACCTCTCTCTTTAGAGGACACAGTTCAATCCGCCGCCGTGGTGTTGGCATGGGCGAAGACAGTGGGCTGTGGCTTCCCTGTGCAGGCGAGGGAAGGGTGGGATTCCGAGCCATGCTCTGCCCACCCAGGCCCACCTGCAGACTACTCATTCCACAGTGTGGGGTGTCTGAGCCCCTGGTTCACTGTCTTCATGGAATCCACAGGGCTACTCCCAGTCCCAGGTCACGGCCGGCAGCTCTCATCACAGAGAGTTGGCTCCAGGGTGGGGTCGGGAAGCTGGCTTACCCTCGCTGCATACTTAAGATACGGGCTCAGAGACCCTAAGACTCATGCGTCCCCTGCTAATATGTGGGGCCTGCTGCTACTACTGGCGCTGCTGAGAGGTGCCACTGAGCCAAGGCGGACTCACAGCGACCCCAGGGGACACAGCAGAGCTCTCCCGCAGGGTTTTCCGGGCTGCCCTCCTCATAGGGGCTCACTGTCAGGTCTTTTTTCAGTGGAGTCCCCGGGTGGGTTCAAACCACTAACCTGCCATCTGGCAGTGGAGAGTGTAACGCTTGTGGCTCCAGAAATGGGCTTAGTGTGGTCCTCTCCTTTAAGCCTGTTTTAGCCTGGGTACTTTGGAGAAACAAATCCACAGCAGCTCATGTATAAGAGAGTGTTATGTAAAGAAAATGTGTGCACATCAAGAAAAAATCCCAACCCAATGCTGCCCAAGCCCACAAGTCCAACATTAACCCATTAACCCAACACCAGTCCACAAAGTCCTCCACCTCACAAAACAGAGGCAATGATGCCGACTGCAGGAGGAAAGCTGAGTCAATGAACGAATAAGCATCTCAGCACTAGCAGGGGTCTCCACACGGCTGCTCCAGCACCCAGGGCTGCATCGGGATAGGTCCATGGAGCTTCTTCTTGGGGATGTCTTGTAGGAAGTCAGTCTTGCAAGCTGAAGCAGGGAACTGCTAAGGCAGCTGCACCCTGGTGCAACCATTACAAAGCAAGAGACCCGAGAGCTAGAAAAGCGAGGCTCACCACCCATTTATCCCTCCGCCTTTCAATTAGCCCCACATGTGATTATCGGCCAGGCTGGCACAATTAACTAACTCAAAGCCTCTCGAACTTAAAGATGACCTTCTTAAATTAGAGGGTGTTCACCCCTCTCCAGGTTGACTCCGCCACCCAGCCAGGTTCATGTGTTAACTATGGTGACGACCCAGCTCCCTGCCACTGTGCGGGGGGACTACAGCAGTGACAAGGAAAACCACTTTGCAATCCCTGCCCACAGGAGGAGAGTGGGCCCTAGTCTGACCTGAGAGGGGTCTTTGTGAAAGAGGAGGAGAGAGCGAGGGGAAGATGGAAGCGGGGCTTAGAGCGAAGCATCTACAAACCAGGGAACGAGGGCCATTCCTGGCCGCATCTTCCCCTACCACATGGCCTCTGGAAGGGTCAGAGGGTAACTTTCCACTGCGGTCAGCCATGTCCTCTGCGGTCCTTTGGAAATTCATCTGTTATCACAAGTGACCCCAAACGGACTGGCCTGAAACAGCACACACGTATTTTCTTGTTGTTCTGTGTCAGAAGTAAAACAAAACAGAACAAAAAAACAGCTTCAGTGGCTTAAAATCAAGTTGCTCTTTTTTTTGTTTTTTTTGTTTTTTGAGACTCTAAAGAAGAGTTAAGGAGCCCTGTTAACTTCTCAGTTAGCTTTGGGCTGCGTATTCCAAGGTCAAGAGTTCGAACACCCGGCTCACTCGGCGGGAGAAAGAGAAACCCCGGTCAATCTCAGAGCCTCCCAGAGGCAGTTCCAGGTCCTCGAGGGTCGCTGGGGACCAGAGTCGACTGGGTGGCAGCGGGTCTGGTGCTCGCGTCTGGTGGTTCTGTACTGGGTTATGCGCCGACCGCTCCCTGTAAGGTCAGCAATTGAAACCCACCAGCGGAGGCTTTTGGCTTCCATCAATATTTACAACCTCCGAGCCCCACAAGGGTGGTTCTACTCTGTCCTGGAGGGCGGCTACGGATCAGAAGCGAGTCGACGGCAGTGGGTTTGGCTTCTGGAAGGGAGACTCCCTGGCTTTTCCAACGTCTAGAGGCTTCTTGGCTCGTGGCCCTCATCTTCCTCTGAGACAGCAGTGAGGCACCTTCACACCGCCCCGCTCCCACCATCTCATCTCCTTCTGTCGCCAGAGGTGCACAGGGGCCTCCTCCTCCTGAGACACAGGCTGGGCCCTCGTCCACCTCAGGGGCGCTCTGCCCTGTAAGCTAACACGGCCAGGACGAGGACCTGGGCTTCTTTGGGGAGCAGTTTGCTGCTCCCCACACGGTTCTGTCGAGAACTCTGACATCCGTGACCTCTGTGGGCCTCGGTTTTCCTGGCTGCCACCTGGCTGCGCTGAGGTCGAAACGAGCGGGTGTGTGCCAAGCACTTGATCCAGGCCCAGGCCCCTGGGGAAGGCCATGTGGGTTGCTATGGTCACCCCCTTCTCCAAGACCATGGTGACTTGGCCGTCCTCAGTAGGAAGCCGGCAGCCCATGGGGCAGGGAGCAAAGCCTTCAAGGGTGAGGGTGCCTGACCGTGGACTGAGTGCGCCCTCCCCACCGGCTGGGACCGCAGTCTTATCTGCAATACTTCACGGCAGGAGGGGTGCCCCTTGTCCTTTGGTCCCCGGTGTGGACCTCTGCACCCTGAGCAGGCTTCCTCCTCACTGCACGTGCCCCCACCCTACCTCCGCCTGTCCTGCTTCACCGTAGGCGACGCCTCCCCGGTGCTGAACCACGCCGCGGTTCCACTGATCCCCAACAAGGTGTGCAACCACAGGGACGTGTACGGCGGCATCATCTCCCCCTCCATGCTCTGCGCAGGCTACCTGAAGGGTGGCATCGACAGCTGTCAGGTAAGCAGGGCGGTGCCCTGGGGCTGCCGAAGCGCGCAAGGGGAGATGCTCTTGCGGGACACGGCCCCTGGGACAGGCTGCTACTGGCCTTCTCCGTGACCAGCCCTTAAGCAGATTGACAGGATGTGGGGAGGACCTTTACTGGAGATAAGGTTTCTTGTGCCGGCTGGGTGGACTGGGTTTGAGAAGGTTGCCTCTCTGCGTGGGGACTGGGTGCAGGAAGGCCTGTTCTGTCCAGTTTCCATCCAGCTTGGCTCTCGGGGCTTGCAGAGGAACTAAGGGGCTGCAGGAGTCCCCGAGTGGTGTCAGTGGGTCGATGCCTGGTGGCTTCCTGAAAGCTCAGTGGTTCCTGTGTCCCGAGAGGCACCTTGGAAGAAAGGCCAGGCAATCTACTGCCCAAAGCCACAGCCACTGAACACCCATGGAGCACACCTCTACTCGGACACACACACACACACACACACACACACACACACACACACGCACGGGGTTGACTCCACGGTGACTTGCTAAGGGAGGGTGGGAGGCAGGTGGGGACTAGTGACCCTGGACCTCCCCAAGGCACAATTGGTGGGAGTTGCCACCCTCCCTGGCCAGCTGCCACTCCCATCCCAGTGGCGCCTCTCTGGGAGGAAGGACCTCTTTGTCTGCACTCAGCTGCCCTTGGCCTTCATGAGCTCAATGTATCTAACGATTGGTCGAAAATGATTCCTGGGGGGCTGGTGGATGCCAGAGGCCCTTCTAGAAAGCCTCCGGGGTGCGGCTGGAGCGCCGTGCTGCGACACAGTGACACTGTGAGGGGACTACAGCAGTGACAAGGAAAACCATTTTGCAATCCCTGTCCTGCTTTAGGGGGACAGCGGGGGCCCCCTGGTATGTCAAGACAGGCGGGCGTGGAAGCTGGTGGGAGCCACCAGCTTTGGTATCGGCTGTGCGGAGGTGAACAAGCCTGGGGTCTACACCCGCATCACTGCCTTCCTGGACTGGATCCACGAGCAGCTGGAGGTGGGTGTCACCCCTCCCCTGGTGGGACACCCCTTCCCAGCTCCCTGCAGCGCCTTACCCACCCTCCATAGAACCCTGCTGTAAAGGCACGGTGATCAGTGATCGATTCTGAAGTCAGTGATTGTGGAGCAAGGATCCTTTTTGACACTATGAGATAAGCATTGGACTGCTAACTATGAGATCAGTGGGTTCACACACACACACACACACACACACACACCCCAGCCGCTATGTAAGGAAAAAGATGTACAGTTTCACAAGTCCCAAGACAGTCCCACTCCGTACTATCGGGTCACTATGAGTCAGAAGCAACTCAATGGCAGATGGGCTGTTTTGGGGGCACTTGGCCAGCTCTGAGCTTCAGGGGGCCCCTGAGAGTGAGACCCCCCTCATCTGTCAGCTTGCGGTATGAGTGGGAGAGGTCTAGAGGAGGAGGAGCTGCTAGGTCAGGAACAAGGTGGACTGGGGGCTCACTATGTAAGCTGCGTCACAGAGACACCTGCCGTGGCCAAGGTTGGGTGGCGACCCCCTCCTGCCTTCCCAGGTGAGCAGGTAGAGGCTGCAGGCAGGCACCTTTGCTCCAGGGGGACTCAGCAAACATCTGCAGATTTGACCCCATAGTTCAAGCCTCACATCTCTCCTGAGACCCGTTTCAAGACCTTTTTTTTTTATGCTCTTTCAAATCAGAAACCACGGGTTAAGAAAGGATGTCACCCTCTTAACGTGACTCAGATGCCAGCGACCATTTCTTCCTCACTGGATATTTTTTGCCTTCGACGAGAAACCACATCCGATCACCTCCTGCAAGAAGCGTCTCTGGAACCTGTGTTGGTCCGGGTAGACTAGAGAAACAAATCCATAGGAACTCATATGTGTATAAGAGAGAGTTTTAGATAAAGGGTGCTTGCACATTAGAAAGCATCTCAACCCAGTCCAATCCAAGCCCATAAGTCCGATATTAGCCCGTATGTCCGATACCAATCTATGAAGTCCTCTTTAGAATCAAGAAACACATGCAATGACGCCGAGTGCAGGATGATCACAGGCCAGTGGGTAGAAAGTATTTGGACCCAGTGGTGGTGTAAGCATCTCAGCGCTGGCAGGGGTCTCCACGTGGCTTCTCCAGCACCCAGGGCTGCACCAGGCTAGGTCCATGTGGCTTCTCCTGCTCCCAGGGCGTAGCACCATGTGTCTTCTCAGTAGAGCGTCTCCCAGGGAGTGAAGTAGTGAGAAAATGTCTCCCGCCTCCAAGGAGGAAATACAGGCGTTCCCAGAATTCTCTGGAGAAGACCATGCCCACACAGGGCATGCTATTGGGTCATTGGCTATGACCCAATTGACACACTAGGCTCCACCCTTTCACTCTTAATCCTCTCTCAAGTCCCAAATTGACACCAGATTAGGTAACTACCACAGAACCTAGGGCCTCCTGGGTCCCCTGGAGAAAGGCATGCAAGGGCCAGGCTGGGAGGACTCCGGTTTCGCTCCCAGCACTGCTAGTCGATTCCATATGGCTGTGAGCAGCACTCCTCTGTCAGGCTCAGTCTCCTCTGCAAGGTACTAAGAGGTTCTACCTACCCTTGGGTACAGCTAGGGTGACGTGCAGGTAGCAGCGAGTTGAGGCAAAGGTGGGAAGATCAGCCTATTTGAAAATATTGGCTAGAGGTTATTTTGATGGCTGGGTGGCGCAAACAGTTTGTGCTCAGCTACTAACCTACAACCACTAATCAGCAGTTAAAACTCACTCAGCGGTGCCCTGGAGGAAAGGCCTGGCAGTCTCCTGCCTTAGAGATTCCAGCCAGGAAAACTCTGTAGAGGGCAGCCAGCGACCAACTCGCCGTCTCCAAGCACTCGCTTATTCCAGACACGTCATACAAGGGGATCGTGCAATGCTTGCTGTTGGGTATCCGGATTATTTCATCTAGTGTAACGTGTGTCCCTCAGCTGAAGAAGATATGAACAAAGCGTGGTCTGCCGGCGTAACGGAACATTGTTCTGCCACCAAGAGAAGCGGAGGTCAGAGATAGGCTACATTAAGTAGGTTACAAGACGGAGAGGCTCTGCAATGAAGCATTCCCATTCTTCTCAGTGTGATCCAGTGTTGGTTGTGATCCACCCGGTCAAGGGCCTTTGTACAGGCAGTGAGGCAGAAGCAGGCATCTTTCTGGTGGTCTCTGCTGTCGGTCAAGGTCCATCTGTTGTCAGCATCTAGGTGGGAACCTTGCGAAGCTGGCCCAGGGCTGCGTGGCGGTTCCTTCCGTTGCGCACAGGGTTGCTGTGGGTCAGAACCGACTCTGTGGTGTCTAACAACAAGGTGGATGCAAAAACATAATAATAGTTCTGACTCAAACTGAAATTTAGGAATACATTGGTCAAGAACTGAAAATTCATGTTGGAACAATCTCAGGTCGATGATCCAAAGGCAGGCGTGTTTTTAGTTGGGAGGAATATCTGGGTTAGAGAGCTGAACATCTGTCTGGGTTCCACCCACCCACAGCTGCAGCTCCCTCTGCCATCATCGGTCACTTTTGTCCCCATGAACTATGTATATGTCCTTAAAACAGCCAGATGCTTCGCCCAGGGTGAATGCAGGCGTCCACTCAACAGTCATGTTGGAGAGACGGCTTGAGGGTCTAAAGAAATAATATGCATGGTTTTGTTTTTAGAGGGACCTGAAAACTTGAAGAGGAAGGAGCAGTGCCCACCCTGCCTGGGTGCCATGGCAGACACAGCCCATCATTCTGAGGATCCGTGCATGCTGGGAACTGTGCACGCACCTCCATGCCTGGCCTTCTGGAACTAACAGCAAAGCCACAGGGAGGCACCTTGACACCTGGGACAAATGGCTCCTAACACCTCCAACTCTCCACTGGGCTGGTTGGCGAAACTGAACTTGAAGTTCCTTTCTGACCTTCACTAAGAGTAAAAGCAGAAATGCCTCCCAAGTCCTGCCTTCCCCCACTGGTCCATTTCCCCACAAGGGTATTTCAGAGTTAAAAATAAGAAAGGCAAATGTCATGTGAAAAGGAATTAACCGTTGTATTACTTGTAGGGCTGCAAACCACAAGGTCAGGAGTTCTAAACCACCAGTTGCTTCTCGGCAGAAAGATGAAGCTTTCTATTCCAGTAAAGAATCACAGGCTCCGAACCCACAGGAGCAGTTCTACTCTGTCTTATGGGGGCCTCTGAGTCAGTGTTGGTGCGATGGCAGTGAGGACGTTTTGTTCGCTTTTTAAAGTGTCACGTTCAACTACGTGGGTGCAGTCACTCTGTACTACACCAGAACGCAACCAGCATTTTCTACTTCCAACCCCGTGTGCGTTTCACCCATGGGGAGCTTCATCGATTAAATACCCCACTAAATGCTGATTTCCACAATTTCTTTGTAGCTTTTGGTGTCTGATGGATTGCTGTTCTTTGGTTCCAAAGAAATTAAGTCCTCTGCTGCATACGTTAGATGGAGCTTGTTGGAACGGACACTAACTGCTCTTGTAAAAGGAAATCATAAGCTTAGCGCTAGAGGCTTGGGTACTTGCATCTCATTGGCATTCATTGTGAGTTTTGCATTTTCCTGTTAGAATATGTTTCTTAATTGACCGGAATTATCTGACGCTCTATCATAAGACAGACAGAAGAAAGGCCAGCGTGCTCCTTGGAGGCAAGGATGGCGAGACTTCAGCTCATGTGCTTTGGACATGTTGTCCGGAGAGACCAGTCCCTGGAGAAGGACCTCATGCTTGTCCTTCAAGCCTGGGGCAGTGGAAAGAGAAAGGTCTTCAATAAGACGGGCTGACAACAGTGGCTACAACAATAGGTTCAAACATAACAATTGTGAGAATGGCTCAGGACTGGGCAGGGTTTCCTTCTCTTGAGCATAGGGTTGCGATGAGCCAGAACTGACTGATGGGATGAAGCAGCAACCACCATCATAAGACTCAGATGAGAAAAGGCAAACTGGAGCAGTCAGACAGGGCATGTACAGATTGAGGAGATAGAAGACCATCAAGAAGACAATGGCTCACCTATCCCCCCAGAACAAGCCCCACTGGCCAATCCTTACAGACTGATACACCCCTCAGGTTGACCACAGCCCTTCTGTAGTTTCTAGCACACACCCACTGTGTTAGACAGGGTTCTCTAGAGAAACAAAATCAAGACACTTATGATATATATATATATATATATAAATAAACCACTAATTAGTCCACAGAGCAGTACAGAGGGCTCAGTTGAACTCACTTCCATGAGACAGTTAATATATTGGCAGTCCTTCAACTCACGAGGGCTGGTGGGTGCAAGTCCAGGAGATACACAGCTGAGTCTTCTGTAGAGCAATACAGGCAGTCCAGCCGCAGGAAGCAAATAGCAGGGCAGGTCACCAACAGTCAGCTAGATGACAGTGTCTGACAATCCCCAGCTCAAGTGATATACACACCAGCAGTGTGGTGAAGCATGTCTCTAAGGAACCTCAAACTATAGTGACACGGTCCACGGGTTGGGTGTCCCACAGGCAGTGTAGCTCACAGGTTCAGGCAGAGAATTAGCTAAGGCAGCCGCACACAGGTCTGATCATCAGAGAGCAAGACACAGAAAGGCGAGGCTCGCCGGGCCATTTATCTCTTTGCCCTTCAATTAAACTGCAACCTCATTCATCCCACATGGGTCTATTGGCCAGGTTGGCACAACCAACCTACCTATCAGACACACATTCTGTAAGAAGGAGCACTTGCTCATTGGTGCTTTATCACGAATCAGACTGTGAACCAGTTGCTTTATCTTGGGGCAGCCATGGAAACTATGGGCATGTTTAAAGGAAAACAGAGATGGATTCCGGTGTCGAGGAAAGGGCGATGAGACAGCAGACCCTGGATCTCTGGCTGAGCATGAGCTGGGGGTTGAGAAAGGGGTGCTGTTGTGGTGATGCTGTTGTGAGAGAACTACCACAGGCCGGTGGTTTTAACAAACAGATTTAATTTCGCACAGTTTTGGAGGCTAGAAGCCCAGATTCGGGGTGCAGGTTCTAGAGGAAGGCTCTCTGCCCGGGTCGGCTCTGGAGGCAGGGCCTGTCTCTTAGGCTTCTGCTTCCTGGTTCCCTGGATTGCTCTCTGGGTGTTGACACCGTTGCTTCCCCATCTCTGCTTCCTCGCTTCCTTATTTAGCCTCCGGCTGTATCTCAAACGAGAGTGACTCCAGAGACACAGCACGCCAATCCTGCCTCATTCACCTACCAAAGACAATCCACTCTTTCTTTTTTAAGGTCATCTTATTGGGTGTTCTTACAGCTCTTATAACAATACATACATCAATTGTATCAAGCATATCTGTACATAGGTTGCCATCCTTATTTTCTAAACGTTTACATTCTATTTGAGCCCTTGGTATCAGCTCCTCTTTTTACTCCCCACCCTTTGACCCCTTGATAAATTATAAATTATGAGTAATTTCATATCTTACACTGACTGCTGTCTCCCTTCCCCCTTGGTTTCTTCCCCACTCCTCTCCACACCTTCCCCCTACCCTCTTGGTATCCCTACTCCCATTTCTGTTCCTGAGGGGTTTCTCTGACCTGGATTCCCTGTACCCTGAGCTCTTATCTGTACCTGTGTACATGCTGTGGCCTACCCGCAGTGAAAGGCAGTATTGGGGTCATGATCGTGGGGGGTGAGGAAGCCTCAAGGAACGAGAGAAACATTGTGTGTTTCATCGGTGCTACACTGCACCCTGGTTGACTCATCCCTTCCTTGCAGACAATCCATTCTTTTTATTTTATTTTATCGGGGGCTATTACAGCTCTTATCGCAATCCATACATATATCCGTTTTGTCAAACACATCTGTACATATGTTGTCATCTTCTTTTCCAAAACATTTTCTTTCTACTTGAGCCCCTGGCATCAGCTCCTCATGGCCTGCCCTCCCTCCCGTAACTGCCTTCCCACATGTCCCCTTGATAATTTATAATTTTTTTCATGTCTTATACTGACCACTGTTTCATTTCGCCCACTTTTCTGCTGTCCGCCCCCTTGGGATAGGGTCCATAAGTGGATCATTGTGATTGGTTCCACCTTACTTGCTCCCCCCCCTGCCCCCCCCCACCCCACTTACCCTCCTAGTATCGCTGCTCCCATTATTGGTCCTGAGGGATTTATCTGTTCTGGATTCCCTGTGTTGTGAGCTCTTCTCTGTACTAGTATGCATGTTCTGGTCTAGCCAGATTTGCACGATAGAATTGGGATCATGGTAGTGGGGCTGTGTGGAGGAAGCATTAACGAACTAGAGGAAGGTGGTGTGTTTTGTCCATTCTTAAATGAGATTCGAACCAAGGTCATAGAGGTTAGGATTTACAGCTCACATCTGGGGCTGGGTGGGGAGCGACACAATCCAATCCATCACAGGTGCTCAAAGTGAACCGATCATTGAACGGTTGTATTTGTTTCACTCCCCATCTCACGCTGCTACAGAGTTCCCTATCCGATCATTTTCAAGTCCTTTGCCCCCCTCTCTGGAGTAAGGGTAGCTCACGCATCACTGATGCGAATGGCGGAATGTTCAAAGACTTCAGAGACAATCATCTCATTTGAGGAAACGTGGCCGCTTTTGTGTGGGGTCCCAGAAATGCGCCTCGCATCTCCTGTATCGCCCTCCTTGCACTATTACTGCAGCTCGTCTTGCGATCTACTTCACGAAGGTCTTGGACAGTGCTAAGGAAACCAACCCCAAACCAGACGAGCTGCTGTGGAGCCGCCTCCCCGCGCATGATGGCCCTGCGGACTCCTGCCAGCTTGGGAAGTGCTGCCTCCGAGGTGTCTTTGGGTGGTTTGAACAACCCATCTCAGTGGCAGACGGCTTAGCCCTTTGGACTCCGCAGCAATGAGTCAGCGTGTACTGAGGGCCTGACCCCACTGGATGTGTATTTCATAAGTAAACCTTTCTTACTGCTCCAGGGGTAGGGAGGTGGGCATCATATTTCCCAGATCCCACAGCGACCCAGGATGCAGATCAAGCCCAGCATACCAGCAGGAAAAGAGCCATGTGTGTACCTTTGATGTTGGAGTTTAAAGCAGTGGTTCTCAACCTGTGGGTCGCGACCCCTTTGGGGGTCGAATGACCCTTTCACAGGGGTCTTTCCGATGGTCTTAGGAACTGAGACATCGCTCCTCTATCTATCTCCAGGCAGGTCCACCCACATGCAGATGTGCCCACATATGAGTGCCCGGCGTGAAGACAGTTACCCACGCTACACCATGCTTCAAGACAACATTTCACGTATTTGTTATTAGAAATAAATATTTCGTAATATATAATTACATATTGTTTTTGTGATGAATCACTATGCTTTAATAATGTTCAATTTGTAACAATGAAAATACATCCTGCATATCAGATATTGACATGACAATTCCTTAACAGTAGCAAAATGACAGTGATGAAGTAGTAACAAAAATGCTTTTATGGTTGGGGGTCACCACAACATCCTTCTGTTGCTGAGTGACTATTGTTGAGCTCTGTCCCAAATCTGCGCCTCTTCCGGGTTGCCTAAAGGGCCTGAGTTTTTCCCGAAATCAGTCACTCTTTCTCTGGGCCTCTCCTGGTCCTTGTGTGAGTGTGTGCCTCCGTGTGACTGAGCGAGCGAGTGAGTGTGTGGGGGCAAGCGCGACGGCATGTGTGAGTGTGAGAGTGTGCGTGTGAATATGGTAGCTGTGCCAGTGTGAGCAGTGGGAGAGGGGTGTGAGGCTTACAGTGGGAAGTCAAAGGCATCGCTGCTAGCATTGTTCCGTCCCCACGCGCCCAGGTTTATTCCAAACAAAACGTGCGTGAAACATGTCTCTGTGATCCGTGATGACTGCAGTCAGGGCCTTCACCCCACAGCGTCCAATCAGAACAGTGGCTTCTGAGGGGATCTGCTGGACCGTTTAAATCCAAGGCGAAGAAGCCAGCTCAGAAGGGGATGGTGACTCGGGAAATTCCCAAGGATGATTTTGGTTGATTTTCTCCAAGAACACAAGACACCCATGGAAGCTTATTTGGAAGAAGTTTTCCGAAACTTAAAAACTGCACCAGTGAAATAAAGGCAGGTTG